CGACGGCACTGTGGAGTATTCCCCGGGGTTTTTGTTGTTTGCTTATAGCCTTCGCATTTTTCCAATAAAAATTCATCTATTTTCCAAGGAAAACTGTTTTCATAAGTGCAGTTTGATTTTAAGGCATCACATCAAAACCCGTCCCGTATTCGTTGTGAGTGAGCGTAGACGGCACTGTGGAGTATTCCCCGGGGTAGCATGTGCCAAAAGCAGCCCCTTTAGCAAGTGCCAAAAGCAACCACTCGCTGGCAAAGGCCTTTAATAGCTTCTTATTTTCGGGGTTGCTTATCAGCAAGCTGATGGCAGAAATGTCACGTATTGTACACATAATTTTCTATCTGCTGAATACGAAAACAGATGCTGTCATGATAAGACTTGCTCACCGATTCTGTGACTCCTTAGCCAAGAAATTTAGCAGAAGCAAACAGCAGCTCCCGATGCATTCGGAACCGGTCGTCATGAGCAAAAGTACAGTCCGTTAGAGCAGCAATTTGTTGAGTTAGCCAGAATTTCGACAGCCAAAGATTCAATTATCGAGCAGCAGCGTGCTGATATAAAACTCGCCAATGAAACGCTGGAGCAGAAAGAAAGGTGGAATTAAGTGTTTTTCTTTGATTCTATACTTTTCTTGATCCTACGCTTTTCTGTACGTGCTTTTGCTTTTTTTTACTCCCTCCTGAAAATTTGTTCTATGCTTAGCAGCGCTAGAAAATGTGAAGACCGTGCTATGGCGAAGGCTGTTTTCTTTTGTATCTTGTCTGACCAAATGTTAGGCTGTCCATCAGGTTACAAACTGCAGGAAAGAACATTAGATTTTCAATGTAAGGCTATAGAAACTTCCCAGAATCGAATGATGGATACTATTTTCATTTGAACTACTTACAAAAAAATACTAAAGCTCTGACTGTTTTGACGATGCAGGTATCCGCACGGGGTCACCTGCCGACCGCTGCTGTACAAAATGTATATTTTGGCCGAATTGCATGTTTCCCTTCACTTCAGTTTATTGGAAAAAGTTTAGGTTGCTGTGAACAACTTGAGAAACTTGAAATTTTCCAACATTACTTCTGTTTGTTCATTTTGAATAAAAAGAAAAACCAATAATTACATATGATTTAGTCATTTGCAGGTCGCTAAGAAACATGCAGGAAGACTTGTCGAAAATGATGAAAAGT